TTCTCAAATGGCAGCTACCTGATAAGAAGAAAAGAAATATGTCAATAAGGCAGTTGTTTGTGTCCTCAGTGATCAGTTTTCCTGCTCAAGGGGAGTCCAGCTTGACACAAGAAAAAGTCACAACAACAACACTTTAGTTTACAACTGGGTGGTTCTAAAATAGTTTAACAATTAGCTTTTGGATTTTTTGTGCATGGGTACGTTTCCACAAGATTTTTTACTCAAAGAGCCTACATTTTGCTTAACTTACCTTTTTGTGTTTTTTACCTTAAAACAAAGCAGCTAGCGCGTTTTCATTTATGTCTTTCAGTAATCCTGCATACTCGGTGTGTCTCCCTCTCCAGATCTCAACATGCTTCCCCCTCACTGCTATATATACATCAACACATTGTAATCCATCAAATCTGGTTTAAGTCCATACACTTTCACCATTCAGAATAATGCATCATTTTGGACATTTTAGAACAGGCACTGGTTTCCCCTCTAAACAATAAAAATAAGCCACAGCATCCAATGTATTCTGTACCTAAAATAAACCATAGCGTCCATGTATTCCCTACCTATTGTGGTGACATGTTGCTATCATTCCTACTCAGATCCAAACACAGGGACTCTCCTTTAGCCGAGCACAGCATTTTTTATTATTTTTTTACCAACGTGTGCCACCCATGCAGCGCTCTGACATGGCCTCTGCTTGATTGGAGCGGACCACCAGGGCAGAGAGGAACCACCTGTCTGCCCAGCATTACCATATCCCTATTTACCCGCTGTCAGTACCTTCAGCCTCGCTCCTGCTAAATGGCACAGGCCTCGAGCTCTGAAAATCCTCTTTTACGTTTCCCTCCGAGCCTCAAAGTACATTCATAAATGCCATGTTGCCCCGTAATAAGTCAATAGCTCCTGCGCGAAGCAATTACTGACAAAACAAGAGCGCTCTGTGGGGAAAGGCCAATTAGTCGGCGGTGGCAGCAGGTAGCAGGTCCGCGCCGTACATTACAATCCTTCATAATGTAATAGCATAGCGTCAGAGCAAGCGACAGACAGCGGAAGGTTCAGATGAAGTAACAGGATCAATAGAGGTGTTATCGCTGCAATAGAAAGCGTTGAATATCATGAAACGCATTCTGTTGTCCGGCGTAGTTGTTTATGAGCGAGTAATCCATCTCAGATCATAATACTCGGTTAAATATTAAAGCCTCGGGGCGATAAATGCAATATCAATACGCACGTAACACCACAAGATGATTTTCAGATAATGCAATGTGAAGACTCGGCCCAGGAGGCAAAGACAGGAAAATAGTGTGCATGTGGCAGGCCTAGATTAACCTTTCTGCTCCGTTTAGTGCACATAATTGCTCTGTGGTGGTTTGGAAGATGAGCCAGAGGAGATGGACAATTCGGAGAAAGAGGAGGCAGAGGGAGGAAATGTCCGCTCCTTTGTGCTGTAGGAGGATCCAGTTGCAAATGAGCAGCAGGTTATGACATGTGCAACTCATAGACGGGATAGTAGATAGAGATAGGACCGATATTTAGACTTTTAGCATATTTGCTATCGGCGTTAAATCTCCAGCATTTGTCGATATTTTGTTTTAGTCAAAAGTTTTATATTATATAACTCACAACTACACAACTATCTTATAATTTTGTGTTAAAAAATGTCTTGGGTGAAGTTTGTAGTAAATTTAAATTACATACTTTGGGGAAAATAATCAAAACTGGCCCTACTGTATATATCAGCCATAAGTTGCTCTTCAGTATCAGCATTGGCCATGAAAAAACACATATTGGCAAACTAGAATTGAAACTACTAATTTGAGTAAGTATCAATACTAAAAAAAAGTCCCAATACAGAAATGAAACTCCTCTGAATAGTTTTAGAATGATCATGGGCTGTATCAGAACAAGTTTAAAACCACGTAGACTAGTATACGGCCATGGACCAATATAGATCCTACTTGGACGATTAAGGGATTAGACACACATCACATTCTATTTTTTATTATCAAAATCGAGTGTGGAATTTTAGTATCGTGACAGTATGCAGTACGTATAAAATAAGATGAACACAAAACAAAACAGATTACTTTCCAAGCACAATTATTCAGTCAGATCAAGTAAGCACAGCACTTACAGCAGTGTTAAACAAACACTAGTGTCCCAGAGTCTTCTAAACAATTGTGAAAGTGTGTTCGAAGCCAAAGAAGACAGATGTGGTCTAAAGTTCAAGCTGTTGTTTTAATAATATGTGTGGAAAGTTCTTGCATTGTGTTTGGCAAATCTTTTCGACATTATGCTCTATCATTCAGTAATGCAAATTGGCTCAAAAGCTGTACGCATCCTCACTGCGCAGTTAATATGTTTTCATTTCACAATGATCTATTTAAGCATGTGTTTTTATCATAAAGCACTATACACATACTTATAAATGAAGCAGTTTCAGACCATTGATGTCTATCTGGGTTTGCAGAATACACAAACCAGTTAATACAGCATGGCTCTAAAATGGACAAAAAGCATCATCAATGTCGGTCGTAAGGCTGCAAGATTAATTGCAATTTAATCTCAATCAATCAGCAAATCGCAAAGTACAACAATTTCCTCCACAAATAACAAAATATCCTGTCTTATTCTGCATAAAAAACTGCTCTACAAACATCATCTTCTTAAATGTGATTCTTGATTAGTTTGTCAGTCCATATTTTATTGGTTATTTTTCCTGGGCATCTTTAAAACAGGATGCTTTTATCTAAATGCAATATCAATATGCAATATGAAACTTAAGACAGAAAATGGACTAAAATAAAACTTATTCTTTCAGTTTGGTTGTGTTTATTGCACTGGAAAACTCAAAAAATCATGTATCCTTACTATGAGCAAGCTTGTGTCTCCACAAACCTGACTCTTTCTTGCCTCAGAGGGGGTTCTCCTCCTGCTTGTTTCCATTAAAATGTTGTTCCTTTGACTATAATATTCCACAATATGGCATATCAATAGGGAATGCTCAGATGTGTAGTTTTATCAGTCTATTTTCATGGATTCAGGTACGGATGACATACTACCTCCAGAAGGTTACATCCTGTACCTAAACCTAAAATTGTTAATTTAATTTAATTGCAATGTATGTCAGTAAAAATCACAATTAGATATTTTGATATTTTTCTGAAAATAGTCAGCCCTGATCTGTCATTCAGTTATCATAACTTGTTTAGCAACCTGTTTGAAAATCACCTTCTCAGATTTAACAATTTAATGAGAAGAGAGTGTGTAAAGCCAGGCACAGATGGGTTGTGACTAAAGACCACTTGTTTATGAACTCTTTCACTGATAGCATGAACCACACACTCTCAGTCTTACGAAAGAGCTGTGTGAGCACAAGTGCGGAAATCTCAGCTACTTCAGTCTTCAATACATCCCTCAGTGAATTCCTTTCATTCAAAGCATCACAAAAAAGAACATCTTGACACTTTCTTGTCACTACTTAACACTGAAGGAGGGTTAGCTGGAGCAAGAGTGTGTGAAAACAGACTACGTAAAAGTGGGCAAGTGTGAATGGCGCTTGGAGTTATCACGGAGGATGCTAATCGGCATGAAGGGCAAATATTGTACTTATGAGAAAATGTTTGTTCAGGCTAAAAAGGGAAAAGGAACTCATGTTATAAAAAGAGGAGAAGGGGGCAGTGAGGAGCGGAGGATTCTGGGACTGAATGGGGAAATGGGTGGGACTACGGGCAGGGCAGAGACCGTTCTTCACTTTCCTAGAAGGCTGACAGCCAACACAAACTTCAGGAGATAGAAAGTCAATAAGGTGGCCCCGCTGAACCACAGAGGAGTGAGGTCACCATATCAAATAGCGGAGCTGCATCGATGAACTAACCTCACTGTGTGTTTGGACTCTTCAAGTTTATGTATATATAGTACTGTGTCACCAGGTCATCGACTGCATAACTCTTTGCTTATAAAGCCAAGTCTAGCACATTGCACTACATGGCTGTGTCACAATTGTACCTGGATGTTCTTTAGGACTGCATAATATACGGAATACATAACATGCAATTAATTTAACAATTTTCCATTTCCGTATTTTCCATGTAATCCAGAGAGGCAGAGTACTCTTGAGACAATAACCAGCGGGAGTTAATTAGAAAGTCAACATTCTGACATTGCATTGAGATTACACAATATACTGTAAAATACATTCATATTCACTCAGAAAGAAATCGTACTAGTTTACACTGAGGAGTTGTAGACCTTGCCTGCATGAAAAAGTACAGGGAAAACATGACATTAAGTAACTAAACTAAAACCAGCATTCATAAGAAAGCTATGACCTGACTTTGATGTCAGTATTTGCATGCAAAGACAAATAGGCACATACTATAATGAATGACCTATTTTTGACAATTCAACAACCAAATTAAAATGCAAAGCAATAATAGATGCAGAGTAACATGAAAGCTTTTCAAGACAACTTCCACTGCAGGTTGTTTCATTTGTTAATTTAAATGTGAATAAAAGGATAAATTAACTGCACCTTTTATAAAGCTAAATGTCTAGATCTTCCATGATTTCAAGAAGTGACACAAAGTGTGCAGAGCAAAGACATAAGAACATTTGGCAACAATTATTTGAGCATCCACAGCTTGTGTAAAAGTGCTCAGTTGAACGTTTTCTCCTTAGTTTGATTTGAATAAACAATTTTGCAAGTCAAGTTTTATAGTTTGTGATGAAATGTTTACAAAGCCCTAGCATGAAGGTTGGATATGATGATGGTATTTGAGTGCTCTGCTTGCCAAATTGGTGTTCCTGAATAAACAATTTTGCTTTTCATGACTGTCCTGCCTCATTCGCCTATGACTTGACATATCATGTGCATGTGTGCGTGTGTGGGTGAGCTTGTGAATTAAGGACACTGCTGAAGGCAATGCACCACCAAAATAAAAACAGCATAAAGTTGCACAGATACACAAACACACAATAAAACACAATGTGATTTGACTTACTTGCTGGTGACGGTGTGCTGTATCCACTAATAGACAATCCTGGCAGAGCTGGAGGAGACAGGCTTCCCAACATGTGAGGGAAAAAGTACGAGTAGGTGGGCATTGGGAAGCCATTTAAATGGGGACCTGGTACTGGGTTGCCCTTCCCAGCCATTGTAGTTCAAGTCCCCCTTAGAGTCAACTAAAACGGATGGCAAAAATTCAAATCGTAGAAGCAAATTTAATCCACCATTGACAGGAGAAGTTATTCCACTGCACACTCCAGGCTTGGAAACTTGAACGCTGTTGTCCTCGCCTTAGATGTCAAACGGTACAAAAAAATTTGTTGATTTAGTGAATGTGTGTGTCAAGGGTTGAGTTACTAGGGAAACAAAGATAAAAAAGACACAAGTTCTAAAAGAGGGGGGCCACCACTGTTTTATCCCTGTCTTTCTCTTGGGTTTGAAAGGCTCTTATTTGAGAGAGGCGTCAGGGAAAAGGAGCACGGCCATGCCTTATCTCGCAAGATGAAGGAGCAGAGGCAAGTCGAGTCAAGCAGGGGTGGACTTTTGATGGCTGCAGTTAGGTTCAGGAGTAGTAGATAGTGGTGATAGGGGCGCTAGTGGTTTGCCTTTGAAAGAAAATAAAAGGGGGATTTCAGTCTTCCACTGTAGGGAATGCACCGATCACATGATGCCCAAGCTCTTCTGCTCAGATGGGCCTCCCGCTCGCTCCCAGGCCTAGAAGAGAGAGAAAGAGAGATTATTTAGTGCTTCAGTGACACGGCAAAGAGATTGTTTCCCTTTGTGCTTAAGAGCTTGAGCAAAATACTTTTTTTCTGACACTAATTAATGGTAATGTCTCATCTGAAATGTTACAAAAACAGCCCATCCGCCTTAATTATCTAATGGTGTGATAAAACAGTGAGAAGAGCAGTGGGTGTGTGATGTCTTCTCACCGCTTTGTACGCTCTGCACACACGCTCATTAACAGTGACAGAATACATAGAATGTACAGCGGGAGCCAAAACAGCAATGAACAGAGCCCAAAACAAAGAGAAAACTTGGATAATTACATCAGCTAGAGGTGTGCCCCAGGGCTCCATTCTGGGGCCACTGGAGATTTCCTCAGCAGAGTTTACTTCCAAACACATACTAAACAAAAGTGATGTTACAAGCAGCTCATGATCATTTTTCATGTTTTCTTCATAATGACCTTCAGCTTGTCAGTGATTGCGACAGACCAGCTGAAAAATACACAAATGTGTCTTTGCATGAACGGTGCAGTTCAGGAATGTGGCACTCCAACATGAATCACGCCAGGACATCACGGATCAACTGCAGTAAATGGAGAGGGGTCAAGGCAGACCTGTCGGCAGCCTGTTTCCACTTGTACATGTAAGAGGCACTGGGATGGTACCACTGACTATTAGATCTTAGAGAGAAGAAGTTCACTGTTAACAACCCAAACTATGTGTTATTGAACAGCAGGTTAGATATGTGCATTTCTATACACTCTACTACTTGTTGTAGCTCAAGAAGGTTGCAGCTCAAGGACCAACTTCTTATTACATGGAGCGCTTCCATTATTATTATTGTGAAAAGCTTGTGTTTATTCTATAAGTATACTCAGTCAATAAAAAGAAACACCATTTTGTTTAGATGCAATCAATAAAACACTCTCCAAATCCAAAAATGCATCATTAAATGCACAAACAAGAAATATGTATAGATATATTGCATTCCTTTGCCTTGATGCATTGTGAATCAAGGTACCATGTAACATAAACATGTCTGGCAACACTTCTATAATGTGTGTTTTTAGGCCATACATGCTTTTACTGTGAGGCTGCTGTCTTGTTGGCTGTAAAATATGTTCATTACAAAATGTGTGTGTACTGATACAACCTTAAACTTAGCCTACAATACCCTGAGATAATGTGCCATATCATCTCAACATGATTCTCACACAAAAAAAAGGATTGTGAAACACGTCCAACAGTGCTGTAGTGTGAGACATCTGCTCCCAATAATTCCATAGGGCTCAAGCTTTGTCCAGACGTGACTTCAATATACCTCCGAGTAGAAAAAGCACATGAGCAATAAGTTATGGGAACAGCTTTCCAGTGCATGTGTAGGCGTTGTGCCGTCATTGCTAACCCTACAATACAGTATGTCTTTTAATCACATGGAGAGCTGATTTTATGGGATTGGCATCTATTAGCTGCTTTATTTTTATTGATCGCTGCCAAAGTGCTTTGAAGTCACCCGGTGGCGATAGGCCAGTGTAAATGGTGGACAGGAATAGCGTGTTGCAAGGAAATGTGCCCTTATATTAGACAAAAGCTTTAATAGCCTTCTTTTAAAGCCCATGGGAGATGGATATAGTTTTATTTGCTTATAAAGCCCTCCTCTCCATGACCAGCCGCCTATTAAACTAAAGGAGATCTACCCACAGCAAATGCTTTTAAGATATTAGTTGCTGCTCTGTCCCACACAAACATTTGTTAAAAAAGCTGGTCTTCATACACAAGTGAATTTGTATCAGATCTGTATTAGGTCTGTCAAAAGCCTCATTCAAGTGATTTAAAGCCATTTATATTTTAATGTAATGCCCTGAAGCCACCTAGACTCAGGACTGGCTCTTTGAATGAGGACTACAGCTCGCCGAAAGGAACCACAGGCCGGAAATAGGCCACTTCCTTCACCATTATCATTACGACGCCTAGTGTGGGCACCTTTAGAGGCCATTCCCAATGATAAGCTACATCACAAATTACCCTGAGCTTGTACCAGCACTGACTTTGTTGTGGACACTAACACCTACTTCTTTTTATTGATGTTACGGTAAATAGAGTCGTGTATGATAGTTAAGGGAGCAAAACTACAATGCAATGTGGTCCCATGTGAAGTGCAAGTATTCATGTCTTTTTTAAGAATAATAATAATAAATGGTACAGGATATATATATATATATATATATATATATATATATATATATATATATATATATATATATATATATATATATATATATATATATTTATTTATTTATTTATTTATTTATTTAGGTAAGAATTTCATCCATTTGACCCATTTAAAATTTCCCTTTTACACATTTTTCATAGTTTAGGACCGATTTATTATAATTCTTACAATTGGTCAAGGTCACATTAATAAACACTTTTAAACTTTGAAAAAATGTTTAACTAAATTGCAAAAAATTACAAAACAACAACAACACACAGCCAAGGGTAAAATGTGCTGTCAAAATTGTAAAAACAGTGATGCATGAAAGTAAGAGTATTACATAATTGTGAGGCCTTTTGCATTGCTAAACCTACTGCTATGCAAAGAACGAGAGAATGTGAGTGAACACTTGTTCCATTCCTTTACCCTCAGATAAGGACAAATGTTGAACAAATACAACCAGAGGCACATCATTATGTAAAAACCAATGGATCAGAGACACCCATCACTGTACAAATGCAGTGTATATTAATATGTCTCTTATCTTTGCACTTCTTATACTTACTACCCAATGTATACTGGTGCTAATCGTAGCACCATTTGTCTGACAGCGTGCTCTTGAGCAAAGGCAGTCCTATGATGTATGTGTTCTATACAGTAGGCCTGACACTCAAGGTCACTGATATGAAGAAGAAGAAAGAGGACGACTGACGCTGGCCTTCACAGAGACTATACCGGAATGAAGATATGTTTTATATTAACATGCACTGACTACGCTCACACACACACACACACACACACACACACACACACACACATGCAAAACACTTGATCTTTTCATAGGCTGGTGCGTAAACATGAATAATTAACAATGACTTACTTACAGCAAAAGCAATCTAAATGGAACTAACAGAAATAGGTTATAGGTCATAGGATGGTATAGAAGAGATCCCTGAGGCTGGAATTTAACCATTGTCATACTTGTTTAACAGCTTCTGCGTACACTATATGAGGTCCCTATCACTACACAAATCATTGTGGTAAAGTTCATGCATGTCTACACAAGAAAAGTACCAGGGAAAGGCATGCAATCTATTACATCTAAGAGTAAACATAAGCAACAATGCGGGTTGCCAAGCTTGTTTGGACCAACTAAAAATAGTTGAAGGTCAAAGGTGATATGGCATGAGTGACCGTAATTGAAAGTGACAGAAAATGGTGAATAAATAATCAGGAAAACGGCAAAGTGGCAGCGTGAGGTCGAAGGGAGAAGGGCGGACAGGGCAGAAAACATGGCCACAGGGGACAGTCGGGCATATCACAGGACAGAATCACTCAAATGTGTACAGGGGCAGAGCACATCACAAAAGGTGCACATGTGAAGGAATACTTGTCATAGCAAAAACTAGACTACCACTAATCTAAAGTACAAGATGTACGTTTGTGTCAGTTCCCCATTTGGATTCATTAGAGCATTAACAGCCAAAACATGTCAACAAAGCAATTACATTTCCAAGGGATTAAGTTAGTGAAATTCACACTGTTGTTTAAAACAATTTGATTTTTTTATAGGAACCACATTCATCACATCCACATGAGTAAGAGTCAAACATATCATCTGACCAATTTAAGAGAAAACCAAAAACCGCAATGCTACCGCCATAACAATCCGCAAACAAAACTAGAAAGGGCAACACTTCATAGTATACTTATACCCTACCACAAATTAGCACTAAGTAAAATGAGATGTTTTTGTATCACACAGCTTGGTCTCCTGATCTCCTAATGAATGAATCTTTCACCGTTTGAGTGCCTCTGTTGCTAAAGCTCTTGGTTTCACGTATAGCTGCTGGTAAGCACTGCAGTACTGTCACGCTCGACAGTCAAGAGGAATGTAAAGCTACTTAAAGTCAGCTATAGCTATATCACATATTTATAAACACAGTGAAGGCAATGTTCAAGGGAAGGCTTACACTAACGGTATGCTTCATTGTCAAGACTCCATGATAACATAAAGGGCAATAGAAAAATAAACTCAGCATGGTACGTGGTATCTGTGTATTGCTATGACTAAAACTGAAACCTTAAAGATGGTCTGGTACCTTCTTAACTTTAAAGACTACTTGTAATCTAAAATAAAAGCCTCAAGACGAAAGACAGAAAACCTCGTGTGAAAAGGGACTGGCTGTGAGTATATCCACATGTAGCAGCATGGTGCAGACCGTGGCTCCAGGCTGTATGGCTCTGCAGCAGGCGCATGATGAAGTCGCTAGAGCATGATGTGTTGAATATTTGATGAAGACAGCAGCAGTACGTTTATACACATCCAACATGAGATGTGATAATGTGTGGAATGTATACAAAGATGTACAAGTATGGACTGTACCATCAAGTACGTGTGTGTGTGTGTGTGTTATATAAGACAGGACATTTGCATGGCATCTCCACGCCCCAGGGAAGTACCACTCTGTATACTGCATTTATGCTACATGACTAGGTCAGATGAGCTCAGTTTTGCATAAATGAATGATCACATGTGCGAGCCAATGGAAGCAGACTTGTGGCTGACATAAGTATTTTAGTAAACGATATATATACTGCAGTAATGGCTGAGATATATAGAGGCACAGTCAGAAGTCACACAAGGTCATCCAAAATCCCCTGTCTGAAACATTTCACAGTCACAATTACCAAAGCTGCCTGCAGGTTAAAAGATAAAATGTTAAAGTTGTGTTAATACCAACATTTAAGATGCGCAAAATAAATATGAA